TATAGTGTAAACGTAATAGCCACTTACTGCTTGCTTGTAGAATGAAAAAAATGATTAAATGAATAACTGATATAAAACATATCAAGTGGGATCTCCAGGATGTGGTAGTTTTTGGAAGAAATACAATTATTTTCTGGCCAATAGATATCTAGATATCATAGGTATGCATATGATAGATTTATACACACACACACATACACACATACATACATACATACATACATACACACATAGATAGCTATCCAGGAAGGTATAGATTTAAAGGATCTTCCCACAATCCTATTGGCTGGTAATATTCTGCAGATCATATCTAGCCAGAGAACAATGCAGCTGCATAAACAAGATCCTTAATCTTTCAAAGATTTCAGTCTCTCTACCCACATAGCAAAACATAAGTGAATGTAAAGTGCTTATTGTCAAGACTATGATATGCAATTGGATGAAAGGTTCATTGAGTTGACTCATCAGCAGATGTATTTCAGATAGACACTGCATATGGAAGGGAGCGAGTTAAATTTTATCTGAGAAAATGTACTATGCTTTCAATGACCCCAAGTTGTTCCCTAAAACAGAATCGTACCTTTTGAACAGCCATATTCTTCTTTTGCTATGAATCATGAGACATTTTCTCCCAATTAACAATATTGTAGGTGACCTGAAGGGCAATGTAGAGATATGTAGTAGACCTAAATAGGTTAAAGTACATTATGACCTATAGTTTGCTTCCAAAAAGTGGTGGAACAGATTAGAATCTAGCAGAAAAATGATCAGAAAAGGAAATGGGTTTGTCATGTTACAAATGAGGACAAGACTGCCCAGGTGTGGTACTGTTACACTCAAAAACGATCAAAAACAGGGAGTCAAGAGAAGAGTCAGTGGGCGGCTCGAGGTCCACCTGCCCCTCCTACCTCCCTCTCTTCCTTTACCTCCCTCCCCTCACCTGATTGATCCCTAAGGATCACAACAGTGCGTGTGTATGTTGGAGGAGGGTGGTGGTGGTTGGGGGGGGGGAAAGTCAACCCAACTGATCAATGCATTCAGAAAACACGTGCAATGTGTAACACCTGGGGACCTCTCACCTCTAGGAAGGGAGAGGGAAGATATGTCAGCTCAATTATATAACATTTGAGGGAACAAATTATCTGTGTTTGGAGATGCCCACTCAGACCATTCTGGTTACTACAGGCTTGCTCGCTATGGAAACACATCTCATCTCAGAACACTCAGATGACAAGATAGGTAGGAGACAATCTCTTTGAGAATATTTCAGATACTATAGACTTGCTCTCTGTGGAAACACCTCTAGTCTCACAACTCTGAGAAAACGAGACATCCGTAACATGATCTACAGTATCTGATAACATTTCAGCTGTCTCAAGTTTTGGTCTCTGTAAAAGCTAATCTTGTTTGAGAAAACTCAGATCTCTCATCTTGTTGTGTTCCATGAGAAATAAAGGTAACCCCCCCCCCACACACACACACACTGATTAAAGACCAATAGGAAGATTTCGTTTAGCAGTAAAGTGCCATAGCAGACATAATGCTAAACCCTGAGTCAGAACAATTTGAATTTTAATCCTGCCTTAGGAGTTTATTGATTGTGGGACCCTGGGCAAGTCATTAAATTTCTCTTTGGCTTTATTTTCTTAATCTGCAAAATGTGGATGATAATTGCATCATCTTCTAAGAGTTATGAGACACACATGAGACAATATATTTAAATACCTCTGTAAATGTTAAACATTCTATATAAATACTAGTTATTGTTTGAGCTCTTTTAAATGTGAAGGAGTTGCAAGTGAATTGTGATATGTATGCCTGGAATGATTTTGGGCATTAGTGAGTTGGCGACCCCTTTGAAGTGAAGCCCTGGGAAACACTACTTGAATCAGTACATAAAGGAGACCCATTTGTGATTCTAATATTACCAGTTGGACACTTCAACCAGAAACAATAATGGGATTTCCATTTGTATATTGATGGAGGAACTCCACAGAAAAAGTAACCCTAACAAAGCAAGGGAACTTTGTCACTTTCAGACCCTTCAGATGACAAGCTTTGGTGTTAGGGTAAGGATTGAGGGGAAGAGGTAGTGATGTGGTTCAGTGACCATTCACAACCTGGCAGACTAGAGACATGGGTTTTATTTATCAGCTCCACTGTTATCACTGTTACCCACCAAACATTTTTTTTAAATTTCTTTTTCTGACTCTATTTTCTAAAGAGGGAAAATAATATAGGCATAAGAACATAGCATGAATAACCCTGCAATGCTTTGCCAAGAGTTTGTGATGAACTTCAAATAATGATATATGTGTGTGATAGAATGTGGTAAATGTCTCTCAAAGAATAACTGATAATTTGCAGTTGCGCATTATAATTTGTATCAAATCAATTTAATGAATGCAGGTGGCTCAGTTTGTTTTTTTTTAACTCAGAGGAGTTTCTTGCTCTGTGTAGAAATCTGTGTAGGTTACTAAATGTGTTTTTATCAGTGCTATTCCCATAGGGTGAGTGATTCTAGCTTATGTGAGGTGGCAGATTACATCTGTTGTTCTAAAGCTAGCATTTTCTCAGGCTGCCAAAAAGCGTCTTCATTGTTAGGTATGTTCCATTTTTTCAGAGGGGAAAAAAGGGAGAAAGGAGAAGGAAAGGAAAAACTGGAAGATTCTTCCTTCCCCTAGCTAATCCAGGAAGGTCAATTGATTCTTGCAAGCTACCTTTCCTTAGACTCAGACCCTATGAGTCAGCAAGAGTGGACCTGGTCTGTTTCTCTTCCAAGGCACCAATGGAAGAAAACTTGCTTTCTGGGTAATGAGTTCACTGTTTCAGGGTGGATACATGCAAGTCAGAAATGTGTGGAAGGCATGGGCACCTGGAGATGACCAAAGATAACTACTTGGAAGATTCAAGAAGACTCAGTTTCTTTAGAGAACTTCATTAAAGTTGAATGAATTCAATTTATTTTCATATTAAGTAAAAGAATTTGGAAAGGTTTGTGGCATAAGAGTATAGCAAATAATATTTATGCAAATGCAGAGTAATGTGTTTTGTTTCCCATTACCATGTTTCAATTTTATATGGATCATATAATAATATTAAGAGTATTCAAGTTTGTATGGAAAACTTTCTATTTGGAGACAATATTTTGACAGGGATTTCGCTTGTAATTACATATCAAATCATATTACATATTGAATTATGACATATAATAGGTAAATACAAATAAGCAGGTTAAGTTTTAATTGGTTTATTTTTTAATGCTAGCAAGGTGACTAGTAACATGCTAATATCATTTATTTCTCCTGTTTTACCTGCAGGTTTGGCTAAAATGAGTGTTCGCAAAACATATATGCATGCCCACAGAAAAATATTAAATATGTTTATAGTGGGGCAAAGTTCACTTTAAAAGCTATCCATAGACTAATTCTGGTTATTTAAGAGGATTTGAGTCTATGATTCTAAGTCATTTTTGCACTGGTTTCTATTAACATTTGCTTTCTCTTATCTATTTCAGACTAGTTCAATCTATTGACAAAGACTAGCCTATCTAAAATCCCTGCATTTTGCCTTCTAAACTTCTTGGGGTTACTATAATGCAAATATTTTATTAACAAAGATGCAACAATAACCTTGAGATACATATTTAATATGATAGAATGTCCTGATCAAACTTATGAATTCTGATATTTAAATCTCATTTGCTCCATATTTCTCCTAAAAGTTTTTAAAAAAAAATCTCAGTTATTCTGTTTTTACTCACTGGATGTTTGTGATGTTAGGTTAATAATCAGCATTAACTTTTTTTGTAAGAAGTTGAGCAATGCTAATAAATATATGGAATATTTATTGAATTAAGATAATTGTTTCAAGCACTTATGTAATCTCTTTGTTATAGAGAAACAGAATGTGCCTATTATTTTATTTAACAGACAACTACTGAGCAAAAAAACTCCCTCTATTAATGCAGATCAGAACCTTTTCTAATATTCTAGTCTTAGAGATTTGCCTAGAGTGCTAAATTATGTGACTTGCCCAAGAGACATGCAGATGACATGTGTCACAACTGGGACTCAAACTAAAGTCTTCTTGGCTTAAAAGCCAACTCTCAATCTAGTACACTAAACTATGTTTTACTTTGTTAGGCTAGTTTTAAGTAATGTCTAATGCATCAAATTAGAGACTTTCAGACAACACTTGATTAACAAAGTTTTAGTTATTGTGTGTGTGTATTATCAATGATATTTTTTAACTTAAAATTAATGACATTTCACTAATTTACCTATTTCTCAAATTTATCCAGAATATAGACTTTATTAATATTTATTTGTCTTTTGCAAATATGTAAAAATCAGACAGACATTAGTCTCTTAAAGATGAAAAACCAAAGAAACATATTTTACCAATATAAAAAATGTTAGGTCTAAGACCCTTGATCCTTTTACTAGTTTACTTTTTCAATAGATTATAACAGAATATATTTCAGATTATTTTAATTTATGAAAGCTGAAATAAAATAGCATTGGAATTCAAGGTAATATTTAAAACTGAATCTTGACTTATAAATAGCTATAATAAAAATATGAAGATACGACAATTTATTTTTTAACTTTAAGTTACAAAGACGTGGGTGTACTGTCCTCTTTGTGGTTTAGTGTCTGAAATATTTTCATCTAAGTAAGCTATGAAAACATTTAAGTAATCCCATGTAGGTTTTCACAACATATCCTAAATGGCACTTTATTATGCTTAAATTGTAGAACAGAATCTCTTGTATTGTTCTAGCTCTTCAAAAGCTTATTAAAAATTTCATGTGATTATTTTTATAAATGAATACATTATAAATAGGTGCAAGTTCTTTTCAAGGTGGGGTAAAGTAATTTTAACAATATTTTTTTTTCTGAATTCCATTTCCCTTATTAAGAAAATGTCATATTTCAGGAGGAATTGTGGATAAGGATCTTCGCCATTACCTCAACTTACGATTTCAGAAGGGATCAGTGGACCATGAGCTTCAACAGATCATTCGAGATAATCTCTACCTCCGCACAGTGCCATGTGAGTAGGCTGATTTTGGTGTCTATATGTTTATTAGGCTGAGTGTGTGTGTGTGTGTGTGTGTGTGTGTGTGTGTGTATTTTTGAAAAAAGAGGTACTCAACATGCTAGAAGTGCATTATCATATTGTATTCGTTGAATGGAGGGCAGGATTAAAAGAGAATGTCGGTTGTCTTGTTATTTAGTTTTAATTTGTTAGCTCTAGCTAGAAGGACAAAAAGATAGCATTTGAAAGCAAATTATTAAATTCAGTTGTGACTTTGTAAAACCATGTTTCTCTTCACATAAACCATTGTCTCTTCTACTCACTTTGCAAACTTCTGGCAAATTTCATTTATTTCGTGGAGAATGTATATAATCCCCACCCCCACCCCCACACACATCCTTCAGACCCAAATAAGTTTGTTAAATGTCTCTCTTGGAGCACTTGAATGTGTATGTTTGAAGAATAGTGGTTTGTAATAGGAAATTCTGTTTAGAACATCATTTTAGTGGTCACCAGAGAAGTTGTAGTCAAGTGAATTGTGGTCCCCAGTGTAGTATCTGGAGATAATTCTGAGCTTAATATTATAATGAATCAGGGTAAAGAAAGAGTTCATCTTTGGATGAAGGAATAATATACACACAGACACAATCTTCAGAATTAACTAACCATTTTACCCTATATGTGCCACTTTGAGGTACATGTGATATTCTTCTAAAGGGGTAATAGACTTTATTAAAAAGGGAAAATGAGTTTTGAAACAATTAGATATTGAAAGTTATCAAAATTATTACCCATTTTAATGTTGGTGAATCTTAGACATATTTTTCATGCTTATATAAAAAACACCTAAAACTAAAATATTTTGTTAAACACATCTCCATTTTGACTGGATGGAGGATTGCCAACAAGGTTGTCTGATGTATTATCATCAAGCCCAAAAGATACTTACACTAACTGATATATTATAGCCATTTGTGGGTGTATGTGGTTGGGAGGTGGGGTTTGGTTTATATTTATTTTTTGTTACTCCTAGTCAGAAGGGCAGAAGGATCAGATTCTAACATGAGCCTTCCTCAATTCACTTCAGAATCCCATATTTCCTTTAACATAAATGGTGATCTCTTTGACCCAGATGTCTAACTGGTAGCAAATAACATTTGTTACAGGTTGTTTTAGCATCATTCCCCAGAAACCTTTTCTTCTGTCTAGAAACTGTCAACCAGTCCTTTATTTCTTAGCTGACACTAAGCTAAGGTTAGGTAATGATTCTGATACTGTTGGTATGGGAGGGTACAAAAAAAGGGGGCAACTGAAAGGATCATTCTAGACCCGAGGATTCTGTTAAATGTATCTTGCATTGAAATGTATTAAGCATACAGAAGTATGCAAGTCAGAATTGAAATTTCACGCAGTTCTTCAATTAAGGATCAGACACATGGTTGTTGTTATTATTAAATGTTCATCAATCCTCAAATGTCATATCAACAACATTAAGTATCACAAAATAAGACGGCTTTGAGATTGACAATTTTTGATTCAAAGTGAATATCTTTGTCATTATGTGAGAGGAGGAGAGAAGTCCACTTTTGGACTACTAACTTTTTTTTCCTGGAAGTGGAGGAAAGTACACCCTTGAACTTGTAAGTTTGACATTAACGTGATGGGCAGAAGAAGATGGATTAAAGTGAATGACTGCACTATTTGTGAGGAAACGGGTGGATGCATTTTCAAAACTGTGATGTTGTCAGTGCTGCTGTAAGAATTTATCTCTTGTGACATGAAAGAAAGGAGATCTGAAGTACAAAGAAAGGACTGGCACGTTATTGTATTTAAAAGCTGAAGGAAATAGATAAGAAGCTGACATTGAGGTATACTTCTCATCATTGTTAAAGAGAAGAGGGGAATGAGGCAAGCTTAATTAAATATCCAGGTAATTGGCATTAATCTTGTAATAGCTTCTAAATAAGTCAATTAATTTTCTGGTGCTTAGATGCAATGGGTGAACAATATTTTTTGACTGATTCTTTGATTTTACTGGTAAGAGAAAAGAAATTTGCTCTATCAATTCAACTTAGTCTTTGAAAGATTCCTGTGGCAATTGAGAGGTTAAATGACATACTTAGGGTGACTTGGTATGTTTCAGAGGCAAGAAATAAACACATATCTTCCTGATTCTAGTGTAAAATTGACTCAATATACCATTTTGTTTCTCAAAAATGTAATAGGAAAATGAATATGAGAATAAAATAAACAGCCTTTTGTGAGTCAAAATAGAATTTTAAGATAAGATCTTTAGCATAATAAAGTCTTGAACCTATTTGTACAAAGGTATGGAAGAAGCTCCTTGAATCTAAATACTATAAAAATATAAAAAACAACAACAAAAAAGATGTGCATTGTTTTTCTTTCTAAGTTAGGATAGTCATTTGTATAATAACCAATAGCACCATTATCATACTTCTCAGTATATGAGATGTTACCTTCTCAGGTTAAATTTTCTGTGCTTTTAGACATGCAATGGAAGCATCTAGACCTTCCTTGGGTGAGGCATTCTAACTGATCATAATTTTCCTCCTAGTTTCCCTTTTGAAATCTCTCAAACTTTGTTTACTCTCAGTTCTTACTGGGTATTAAGAAAGTCTTCTGTTCAGCTAATTGCCCCATCTTCCTTCCATTAGGCAGAGGTTCAGCATTTTTGTGTATGTGTGTGTGTGTAACGGGCTCCACTGGCAAGGTAGTGAAGCCTATATGAATCCCTTATTAATAATATATATTATTAAATGTATAGTTTAAGATACATAGAATCACTATGGAAATCAATTGCACTGAAATATAGGTATTATTTTCTTTAAACAAGTTCCTGTACATCAGGCTAAAAACAATCCCTTTATGTTAAGGTTTAAATCCTTGGATTATTGTCCTTGTATCATTCCATGGATCAGCCCTTTAGGTTATCCCCAGATGTTCACAAATTGTTTTACTTGAGTCAGTGGGACTAATGACTACAGTAAATATTGATTTTCATAGAAATCAAAATCATGAGAAAATAAATAAGATGTTATTACAATAGATTGAGAGCCATGGGAAGGATGAATCAATCTAAGTACCTCAAACCCTGGTTAGTTTACATATAAGGTCCCTTGACCAACTTTGTATCACATCCAAAAGGATTCCTCATGAAGCCAGGGAAAGGGAGGAAAGGAATAAGCATTTATATAATGTTGCTACGTGCCTGGCACTAAAATAAATGTTTTACAAATAGTATTGCAGTATATTTATCACTAATGCCTACTGCATACATGATATCATTTTCCACCCAGTTGATGTCCTGGACTTCATCATGTTTCCAGAAACTCCTCCTGCAAGGTCACATCAAATCTGAAATCCACACCTCCTCAGTAAACCCTGGTCCAGGGTCCCCTTCTTCCCCTCTTTGCAGAGGATGAAGAGTAGACATGGGAGAGCTATTACATTCTAGCAGCTTCCATTTAAGGAGTTAACAACAAGGCAGCCATTTCCCTATTTCACTTCAGGCTGAAAGATTTCATCATAATCCTACACTGGATACCCTCCTTCCTTCCCTGTATTTTCCACTTCTTTTTGTGTGTTATCTCCTATTAGATTCTGAGCTTCTTGAAGTCTAGGACATTCTTTTGCCTTTCTTTGCATCGCCACTACCTGGCACATAGTAGGGGCTTAATAAATATTCATTGACTCAAGGATTGATTTACAACGTCATAAAAAGCCAGTATCTGATATATTCAAGTATAAATTATTAAAATTAAACAGTAGAAATGATTTAGTTTTGTGTTTTCTTTTGTCTTTCGATGTCAAGGCATTAATTTCCCCTCAAAAGGGGTAAAATTCCTATGATGCTAATTTGTTAAACATAGTAACAGATGGGATCATAAATTTGATTGCAATTGTATAGCTTCCTATTAATGTATTCATAGAGATAGCAATAACATTCTTGTTTTTCTCATAACATAGGACACTAAATACTGGTTGTCATGTCATTTCTGCCTTTTTTGCTGTTTCACAATACATAAGTTCTCATACCTACCTGCTGTAATACTTTTTATCATAACATTTAATATTCCTAATTCAGGATGGACTATAAGAACAAATTATTAGTCTCTAAAGCTAATTTATTTGTGATTCTATATAGAAAGATTTCTATATCTGTGTAGTAATATGTAGGTTAAAACTTCTTTGAGTAAAGCTGTAATATTGTTCAGTGGTATACATATACATAGAAGCAATATCTTTCCAATAAAAATAAAACTACCTAAATGAGTTATCTTCCCCTAAAGCTCTATGCTTATTTCACCTCCCCATGAGGAACATCACAGGAGAAGGGGAAATCAGAATGATTTTCCTTTATTAAATCCCCATCAAACATTTTCATTAGGTTTTAACTAGAACGACATAGCCAAAGTCAACCAATCAACAACCATAATTGAATTATTATTAAGAAACAATAAAAAGTTAAAATGGATCATGGAAGGATTTAAGTTTACTTATGTGAAGTTGGGCCTATTTAATATCTTAGTAATCTAACAATTACTCTAATATAATTCTTTCAATGTACAGAAGTGTATACCCTGCAAAGATTCTAGAAGTACCCCTGAGATTTTGGGGTATTGTTTCTCTATTATTAAACCAAGCTCCTATTTTGATATTCCTCCATTTATAACTGCTTTTAATTAGAACCCAACTTCCATTTCACTAATTATCATAATTGGTTTTATAAGGCATTATTTCCTTAGAAGACATAGCAAGAACTGAAATACACACATTTCCCACCAAAATCTGGGGCACACTCGACCATATTCCACCTCTGTCCCTGAGGGAACTGGAATCAGACATAACAGTTTTCTACCCAGAATTTTCCCCATTAACTTCATGTACAAATAGATCATATCCCCTGGATGACTGTTTTTACCTGGGTCTTGAAAATAGTTCTGTGAGGCCTTGATGATGGACTGGCTGGCTAAAAAAAAAAAAAAAAGAAA